GAATTGGCAGTGCTGGCAAACGAGTTACAGTAAAGGAGCTCTTTAAGCCCCAGTGTTTATGTAAACGTGGCTTTAACTTTAAACTTCTCAGCTTTGTGGCTGCCCTTTTTATTCCTGTTCACAATTTTCCCTTGGCTTCCCTTGAATATAGAACTGTGATTTCCAGCATATCCTTTGGGGAATATATATATATTTCATACATTTAGCTAAATGGGCCATTTTCCATCCCTGTTGACCGTTGATGCATCATCACTGACTCACTCACGCCAACGAAGAACCTGACCCAATATATTTTCTCTCTAGGTATATATTACACAGCATTATGATTCTGTAAAGCAAGCTTTGGGAGGTAGGTAGCAAACTAATCCCAGAAAAAATAAACTTGTGGAAAGGCACGCTGTGCTGAGACAGGGGCTGCACTGTGCCGCCCTTACAGGCGGGATTTCTGTATTTTTCTTCTGGAAAAGCTCCCTTCGGACACGTGAACTGGCATTTTTGGCTCTCAGCCTCAAGTTTCCACCTTTCCCAGCGGGGACACTTGCTTGAGAGTAGTTTTTGTTAATTGTTACTTATTGCCAGAGTCTAAAGGGGCATTTAATAACTGACTGATGCTGTGCCTTCTCTCAACATGCTCACAGCTGTGCCTAAAACACACCATTTGCCCCTGGGACATACTCACAGCACCTCTTTGTCACTTAAAAAACTCTCGAAGCTAAGGGGTACATTTACAGCTCAAGTGTGTCCTGGGTACTTTAAGAGTCGGGAGTTTAACAGTATTAAAATCCCGTAAAATAGTAGAGTCATCAAAAATGCGGGGGGAAATTCGGCTGTAAAGTTTCTGTAAGCAGTTCCTGAGGAACATGCTTACTAAAAGCACATCCTCAAAACTGTCTTGTGCTGCTCACTTCATCATCTCAAGGCAGGAACGGTGCTGCTGCTTCTCAGCAGGAGGCTTCTTCCCTTTCCCAGCCCCACAGCCATGGGGCTCCAACACATACGGGACCATGGCTTTTCCCAAATGAGCCTGACCACAGACCAGCATTCAAAATACCTGCCAGCCGCAGCGTGAGGGAGGGCAAAGATCCTCGTTTCACGTTCGCAGGACTAATAGGCGCTCAGCCCTGCAGGGAGAGGTACTGCATCACCGCAGCATTGCCCCTGCACCCAGCCAGGCTCCTCTGCATCCCACCCACCCCCTGCTCACCCACACCAAGGCACGATGGTGATGCAGGCACCGAGGAAGTGACCGCATCTGCTTTGGGGGTTCACCTGGTCCACACTGGGCTTGCTCCTTCAAAGGCACTTCAATAGGAGCATGTGGATGGTGTTGATGAGCCAGCACTTAAAAAGGCAGCAGTGACAGAGACCGAGCTAAGGCACAAAGCGGAGCATCTGTGCAAGTCGCCAGGGCAGCGCGAGCAGATATTAAGGAGAGGGACTGGGCAGCCCAGCAGCTGGCCAAGATACAGCTTCAGATCTATGTGGCACTTCTCCTGAGCAATACGCTTTACCAAGAAAGGCTGTGTCACGATCCCTGATGTCCAGAAAGGGAAACTGAGGGGCAGGGAGCAGCACAGAGACTCACCCAAGTTCAGTCAGCAGCCTAGCGGCAGAGCTGGCACTCAGATCCAGCTCCCTCCTGGCTCCCAGCCCACAGCTCTGCCCACCAGATGGCTTCATCCACCCTTGGGTCACAAACAGCACAGAGCGAGAAGACTGCTGCAGAGAAATAAAATGCTACCGAAGAGAAGCTGTGATGGTGGCAATACGCTGCAGAAGAGACTTTTCTGGGTCTTCCCATGCTCCTGCTCTCCAGGCAGTTACCTACGCTTTAGCACGGAAACGCAATCTTTCTTCAGTGGCCCGATCTGCAGGTGTGCATCGACGCTCTCCAGGAAGAAGGCAGGTTTCAGCTTGTACAAGAAAAGAGAGGCGAATTGCTGGTTGATCTTGTTCTGGAATGGGTCAAACTGACCCTTGGCAAGATGGGAGACCTTGAGCTGCTGCAGGCAGGTCATCTTGGAGTCCTTGACTCCATAGAAGGTCAGGGCCCTCTCCGAATATTCCAAGAAGACCCCAATCGTGTGGAAAAACGGCTGCTGGATGACAGACTTACAGCCACCAAACCAGGCCACATAGTTCTGTCCGTTCCACTGCAGGCAGCAGGACTTCTCATTCCGCCCCAGGCGGCTGTAGTTGTAGGACACCTGGGGGTTGAAGTCCTCAGCAATGACGCCGATGCTGACCCAGCCGTCGATGAGCTCCACCTCCCAGTAGTAGTTGCCCCGGTTCATGAGGTTCTCACCCAGCACCTGCTCACAGTTGATGAACCGGGTCGGGCTCTCGGGGTAGGGGATGGGGCACAGCACCCGCTTGGCCCCTTTGGTGCCAAACAGCTGGATGAACTTGTCGGCCGTGTCACTGTCCAGGTCAATGATGAAGGCAACTGTGTGGGGCAAGAAGGAGACATGAGGATGAGGAGGGAAACAGGAGGAAATTCCCCCCAGCCCTCCCCGCTCTCATCCACTGCTCCAGCCTTTGGTGATTAGCATGATCCTTCCTGACTTCCACTGTCACTCTGTCCCCTTGCTTTTAAATCCCACAGGCAACTTCAGCCGATGAGGATAAGAGGAGTTGATACTTCCATGAGCAGGATGAATACAGGTAACCAGGCAGAGGGGCTGCTTGATGAGCGCAGCCGTGATATCAGGCATTGGAGAATGTAGGTACAGTGGTAGTAGGAACATCCCATATAAAAGTGGGTTTCAGGCAACCACAGACAAACACAGCAGGGAGGGACCTCAAGAAGACAGGAGAACAGCCAGGCACATCATGGCTACAAATCCTTGCAGCTGGCTCTTGCTGCCCTATGGCTCCTGCAGGAGCAGAAGCAGCCCCCAGCGTGCGGAGCCACGTGAGAAGTGCTGCTGGATCCCAAACAGAGGGGATGTCCAGCAGGAACACCCCTGGATGGACACGTATCGCTGCCGATTGCATTGCAGGTCTGAACCCATGGTGTGGCCAAACCCTACAGCAGTAGCACAGCATCCCCTGCTTGAGCCCAGGCTTTGCTGCCCAGCTCCCAGCAGGGCGCACTGGTGCTGCCAAGGCAGATCTTGTCCCCTATTGACAACTCAGTAGGTGACCCCACAGCCCCTGTAAGGCTGTGGGGGAGACGTGTGCGGCACTGGAGCCCAAGACCAACCCTGCACCCTCCAGCCTCAGCCCTTTCTGCCCCACTGTCTCTGCTCAGCCACTGAATTATCCCCCTGCTTGCTGCCGCTGAAGCTGGCCCTCATCAGACCACTGCTCTGCGGCAAACAAGGCAGATGCACAAACTCTGATCTAATTTAACAGAGGATCCAATTCGTCAAGGACTGGAAGGCAGCAGAGATTCCACAGTACGCCTGCAGCCCCCCTGGCAGCTGGTCCAGCAGAACCACAAACAAGGGAAAAAAAATATCACCTAAACGGATTATGACTGTTGTCAGGAAAGCAAGGAGGCTTCCTTGTAGCTGAGCAATATTTCCTCCGGTGGCGGCAGTGCTCCTGCCAGCCGTTGGCTCAGAACCAGTGCCGGCCAGGCATGTGGGAAGGAGACGGATGGACGGGAGAGAGGAAAGGGAAGATGGACCTTAGCAACAACTGTCAAAGCAAAAGTCCCTCGCTTACATTTCAGGAAGTAATCACGGCTCTCCAGGCAGGCGGGATTGTTTGACTTGTCTGGAAATCGGGACTCGGCCAACTCTGCAGAGACAGGGGCAGAAGGGTTTGACATCAGCAAAGAAAACGATGCCACAAACAAGGCTGTTACTGGAGCATTGCCCCCAACCCGAAACCCTGGTGGTACCCAGCTGCTGCAGCCCCCGAGCCCCAGCTGGCATCCCCAGCTCCCCCTGCACATCCCTGCTGGCTTGGCCATGGGGAAGGTCAGATGCCACCTTTGGCAGGGACATGGGCAAGGAACAGGCTGCAATTCCCATGGGCATCCAAGAAAATGAGAGACAGCGCTCAGGTTAAAAAAGAGCGCGGGAGAAAGCTGCCGCAGTGGCTTTCTAACCCTGGCAGGTTTGGGAGACCACAGCCTGCTCCATGAAGAGGATCATCTATCCTGGGAAGAAAGAGTCCCCTTTCACGGGAGGCCACTTTGGCCACTTTCCCCCTCCCGCAGGGCCCTGCCTAACTCCCAGGCTGTTTGTTGCCTCTCCAGTCTCCGGTCTCTGTGGAAAAATTCATAAAACCTCAAGGACAAGGCATAAGCCCAGACAGGGATTGTGCAACGTGCAGCGCAACAGTGCCGGGCGGCTTCCAGGGCTGGTGGGAGCGGGGCCAGCACTTGCAGGAGCCATCAAGCCTGCAGGCATCGCCCACCTACGCAGGGAGGATGGAGGCTGACGGGACAACCTCCAGGCAGAGGGGCTACGTGAACACAAACCTTCCTCCGTCTCCTGGAACTTCAGCCCATCAATTCCTTTCCCCTGCAAGTGGTCCCACTGTTTTTTGCAGGCAGCGGACAGCACATCCTTCACAGCGCTCACGCCTTGGGTGCATTTGGTGAAGTTCAGCTCATTCTGGAAGCTCAGAGCTGGGGAGAGGTTTTCTTCCATGGCTACTTTTAAGGCCTGAAATTCCTGAGCCAAAAAGACAGAGTTTCAGGAGGTTTCAAACAAGCCGAAGCTGTCTCTGGTTCTGCAACCCCACCCTGCCCTGGAGGATTTGGGAACTGGCAGCTCACAGGACTTGGCCCAAGGACAGCCTTGCATAAGGGAGGAGAGTGCTTTCCCGGCCACGCATTCCTGGCGCCTTCTCTTCACTCCCTTTCAAACCTGGGCCCAGACCATGCCCACCTCGCATGGAACAGCATCTCCTCCCAAAAAGGTCTCCTCTTGCTGGGCTGCTGGGGAGGTGGGGGATGCTGGATGGGGGCCAGTGGGGCACACCAACCTCTCGCTCTCTGTCCCCCACACCTAGGTACCCAGCTGGGCAGCACATCAACTTCTCCTGACTAACAGCCAAGATGGAGGTGGGGGTGATGGAGGAGAAAGTCTTGGCCACCCAGTCCCCCCAGGAGTGGGGAGGGGACAGGACTCTGCCAACTGCAGCCCTCACATCCTAGGGCTCCAAGCACCCAGTTCCACCTGAAATGGGACAAAACCCCAAAAGACAACATTATTGGCTCCTTCTCCTCGCCCCATCCCACCCAGGCACCTGGAGGAAGTAGATGGTGTCAGTGCTGGGGACGTTCTCCAGGTTTTGCTTGCACTGGGCCAGCTTGGCTCGCCTCTCCTCCTTCCAGCGGAGATCGGCCTCGGCCTCCCCCAGCATGAAGCGCTCCCCATCCTCGATGAAACCAGCCACCTCCTTCTGGAAGGCTGCCAGGACCTCGGAGGCTTCTGCAAAGAGCTTCTCGAATCTTTCCCTCTCCTTCGTGGCGGCACCCTGAGCACAGGGAGAGAGGGGTCAGGGTCACCTCCTGCAGGCAAGAGTGCAGGAGAGCACCCTTGTCCCCTGCCCAACACCCAGTTCTCGGCTCTGTGCGGTCCCCTGACACCCCATAACCCCCTTCACCCAAGAACTCAGAGCACTTGGCAACCCAGGACCTGGCTGGGCATGGCCACTTGCTTCTCCACCATGTCTTGTGCCCCCGGGTGGTGAAGTGATGTGTTTGCACAAGGGCCAAAGGGGACCAAAACCCCCATGAGCCTGGGGAGAGAAGGTGCAAGAGCCAGCAGATGCCCTGGCATGGTTCTTGCCCCGTTCCTCCTTCCAGGTTGCAAATGAAAGCCACCCAAGATGCCATGAGGGTTAGCAGAGCTAAGGAGCAAGAAGCCTCAGCGACCCTTGCCAGGGTCACCACTGTTTTACAGAGCACTTCCTCCCATGTGAGCACCACCTCTACACCCCACATACCCCAAAAGCTCACAGTCCCTTTGCTTCTGCTCCCCAGCCCGGCAGAACTGCACTAACGGAGCGAAGCCATCGCAGTCACCTTAATGAGTTCCACCATCTTCTTGGCCTGCGCAATGGTGACTGCCAGCTCCTCCAGCTCATTCTCCACATCGCTAAGGAATTTGGCTTGTTGGGCCTGTGGACATGAAGGACAAATGCTGAGCTCTGCCCCCCAATCCCAGCGGCAGGGAGCCCCAGCCTCTCCCTAATTTCAACCCACAGCCCCCTCTCTGACCGTGACCTTGCTATCAGGCTTCGGGTGAAGGGTGCAATGGGAATCGCGAGTTATTTTCCTGCTGTCCTCCCCTGAAGCATCCAACCTGCAAACATCCCTTCTCTCTTGGTTGGAAAACTAAAAGAACAGCCGGGCTGTGAAGGGTCACGCCCAACTCCACGCTCCCCACACAGGTCCCAGCGGAAACCAAACAAAATAGGAATTTGAAAGTAAAACCATCATGCAGTGACTGCAGCAAGTGCTAAGCTGTGTGCTCACAGTATGTATCCCAAGGCTGGGAAAAATCTGCCTGGGATGGGTGCTGAGACTGAAAGGCAGACCCAGAGCACTCAGAAATGCTGCGCTGAGTCTCCTGGATGTTTCTCATTAGAAGCAAAGCAAACCAGCTCAGGAGCACGGGGTGCTGCGTGGCTGCAAAGGAAGCACCGTCCGAACGTGGCGTTTCCTGACGCGCTATTGTTAGCGCCAGCCATTGCCCATCATGAGGACGGGTCCCTCGGGAGCCAGGAGAGCATTGCACTCCCCAAGCAGGGCAGCTCCCCCCTCAATGCTCAGCCTCCAGCCCCCTGTGGTGCTCGTGCCTGGCGAGGGGGACAGGCGCCTTCTCCATCCAACCTTCCCACCCCACAGCGCGAGGGTGGTGGTGCCCAGGAAGGCAGCACCGTGTTGGGCTTGGAGCCCTGGCTCCCAGGGAGGCTCGTGGGTGTGAATTTGGGAGGTGACTCAGCCGCATCTGGGAATGGGAGTGACGGAAAAAACCCCGCTGCCAAAACGCCAGGACACAAAGGGCTGGTGGAGCGGGAGCAGCAGCTGGGCAGGCTGCCAGCGCGCCGAGAAAAACCGCCTTGATGAAGCTGTGGGAACGAGACGGAGAAGACGGCTGCCCCGTGACCGTGGGGGCGGCCACTGCAGGGTGTCCCAGATGCCCTCCCCCCCAGCCCCCAGGATTGCGAGTTTGGCCCCGCAGTGGGACCAAGCCCCACTTGGCAGCGGGTCTGCCCCTAATGCCTGTCCTGGGGCTGCCTGTCACCTCCCCACCCCACCAGGTGACCCGATGGCACAGCACCCTGTCCATATGCCCCCCACACTGGGGCGGGGTCCCCCGTGGGGACAGGGCTGCAGCACCCGCCCCGCGCGGGGCGTCCCACCAGTGCCGCACCTGCACACCCCCTCCCACGGGAATTAGGTCCCGTGTGGGGGTGTGGGTGCTGCATGAACCCCTCCCAGGGGTGCTGCGCCTCACCCCATCCAGCGTCCCCCACCAGCACCGCACCCC